ATGGCGTCGTGATCGACCTGTTCAGAATTTAAAGATGTCAGTTTGCCAGACTTCTGAGCTTCGCGGTCCTTCTCCTGAGTGGTAGGCGAAGGTCGTTTGAGTATAGTGACAGGCGCAAGTTGAGGGTCTTCCATAATGACGTCCGAGTCGTCCGAGTTGAATGCCTTGTCAAAGACGTCAACTGGGGTGTGTTGAGGCTGGGTGTCCGCGGGCTTGGGAGGATTTCGCTGCTTGCCTACCCATCCTTTGTTGGTCATTTTGGGAAAGGAGGTGTCATGCGCTGGGATCCGATTTGCTTTTGAGCCGTCCTTGGGTCTGGTACCGCTCCGCAATCCATCACGTGCCATATAGACAGTGACTTCATCGTCGTCGTCGTCTTGTTCTTGTTCATTGTTCAGCCAGATCTGGTCGAGTTCTTCTGGAACCACTGTGATGTTAGACCTTGGGAACATCCGCTCGATGGTTTTGATCATAGGTTCGCCTGGATTCCTAGGTATGGGTTCGCCGTTAGCTTGCACGAGTCGTCCGTCAACTGTCTTGATGTAGTGCTGATCACGGTAGGGCTTGAGTTCAGGACAGACTGCTATCCTGTGCCCTGCCTGTCCGCATCCGTAACACATGAATTGGGTCGCCCTAAAATTGCTGGGGAATGTCGAGGGTGATTGCTGTTGATACTGTCGCTGTGGTTGAGGCTGAGGCGGCGGCTGTGGTGGCTGTGCTTGAACTTGAGTCGGCATAGGTGGAGTCGAGTTATAGTTCCTGTTCATAACTTGAGGCGTCGATTGTACCATAGTCGAGGGGGCCGATACGACTCCAACAATGTCAGGGTCGATCTTCTTCGCTCTGTAATATAGAGCCGCATAAGTTGGGTCGTTCAGAGACATACCGTGTAGCTGTGTGATAAGCTGTTCGACTTCTTCCTGCTTCTTGTTGTCCAGTTGCTGTGGATATGCCGATGCGAGGGTGTCCTTGGTCTTGTTCTTCTTTGTCTTGTGGTGAGATCGCCAGCGGTCTTCGTCATCTGATTCCTCTATTAGAGTGTCAGATTCTGAGTCGTCGTCGTCGTTATACCCTGCAAATAGGCGAGGTTTTCTAGAGAGCGTTCGCTTTTTGAGGAAACCGAGATCTTCTTCGTCGTCAGAGTCGTCCATGTCGAATCGATTCCTAGGGAAGAGTACTTCAGCAGCGGCGATGATACGTTCCTTCTTGAAAGGCACTGTAACGTCAATGTCAGTGGGATAGAGTTCATAGAGCTTTCGCTCCAGTTGGTTTCGCAGCGTCTTGGGTAGTCCTTTCCAGAAATAGTAGTTGCTCTGCTGTTCGTTGATCTTGCTTTTTCCTAGGAGCCATCCGCCGACGCGAATGAAGTTGCGCTCATAGTTCCTGAATTCGTCGATGTTGGAGATGGTGTCTTGTTTGGAAAGAGCAACGAGCTCCCTAAGGTCGCGAAGGGAGAATTTGAGGTCGTTCCGGTCGTCGTTGTATTTGCACAGAAGTTCTCTCTTGAAGTTGTCCCAGTCAGGGTTAGTGAAGTAGAGCATGCCCTCTATCACTTCCCTGACCGACCTAGAGCAGTACCTCCTGATGAGGGAAACCTTGTCAGCGTCGTCGTCGATGTTGTGCTTGCGGCATAATTGTTCATAGTCCATGATGAAGTCCCGAATGGTGGTGTAGTCGCCTTTGAAAGTTTCTGGAGCATCTCTGCTCCGCCGTGGTGGCATGTCTAGCACTCCGCGTGCTTCGACCATAGTGTCCTGTATAAAAGTGTGAGTCTGATCGAATGGGTATAGTCCAAGAGAAAGCTGTAAGTCCGATAGAGTTGGAGGTTTGGTTCTTGATCCTGTGATGGGTGTTTGCGATACACCCCCTGCGGTGGTCACCAGTAATGTCGCAGACGGAAGTTTTTGATGTGTGTGTGGATGTGTCGAAGAGGCGAGGGGAATTCTTGAGGTGATAGGAGTGTACCACCGATTCTTCAGCTTCTTCTTGCAGAAACTTCCCTGAGGTCCCGGGCTATCTAAGTCGGGGATTGCTCAGTTGGCCGTCGGTTAATGAACCTGACTTGAATTTGATGGGACAAGCTTTGTGAGCTCGTCGGCGATACCTAAAAAGGTAATAAGACGGTTAGCCTGTATGGGAGGCTTGAGGGGTCTTGTGTGGATGTGTTGTACGACGCGCCGTGCGTCGAAGTTCCTAGAAAAATAAAGGGAGGGATCAGTTGTTCCTTGGGTGGCGGAGGCGATAGAGCGTGGGAAACGGTTTCGAACAGCCTACGGTGGCTGTGTAGAGTCGATAGGGTCGATATAGAGTCGATAGGGAAGCTGTCCAGGCACTCGAGTCCTGACAGAGAGGGGTTCAGCAGACGACTGCTGGG